TTTAAATACTTACTTTTTCACATTTAAATCATTCACTTGAGGGTCTTAATTTCAGAATTTTTAATGATTTCTTATATTTTTAGATCATTTGTGTTGTTATTTTTTTTTCCTTTTGTACTGATTTTATCTTATTGTATTATTGACAAAATGTATGTAGTTGCATCATTTTAACCTGGTTTGTTTTTAGCAAGTCCAGGGACAACAGATGAAAATTAGACTGGACTAATTCTGACACATTTACAGAAATGTCAGTTAATGTGCATTGTCCCTGCCAAATACAAATTAAAACATAAAGTGGAACTGCAATGCTTTGGTCTGAATTCCTCCTTATTGTGGCTCCACAAGCCCCTCTGTTTCTCAGATCAACTTGTTTTCAGGCTGCCTCTTTAGATCTCAATTAACGCAGTTTGTTCAGTAAAATAATTTACATCTCATCATGTTCTTGTCACCTAAGGGGTTCCTCAGGGATCTGTCCTCGGATACTTGCTGTTCATTGTTTATTTTCTCCCCCTTGATTACATTTTTCGTAAACATCATAYTCAGTTTCACTACTATGCGGATGACTTCCAGCACTATCKCTCAACCAAACCTAACTCYACACTCCCACCTTCGTCCCTTACTGATTGCCTTCTTGAAATACAACACTGGTTTACACTAAACTTTCTTAAATTAAATTGCAATAAAACAGAACTTATTTTAATTGGCACTAAATCAACACTAAGTAAACTCTATTTTGGCTGACAACTCCTCCATCTTTCCCCGCTCTCAGGTTAAGGGTCGTATCACCCTTGATAGCACTCTCTCCTTCGGCTCACATGTCAATAATATCACTCAAGTCAGCCTATTTCCATCTTTGAAATATTCATCATCTCCACTTTTCTCTCACTCCTCACTCTACTGCTGTTGCAGCCCACTGTCTGGTCACCTCCTATTTAGATTACCGTAATTCTCTTCTATTTGGCCTACCACATAAAACCCTCCATAAACTGGTTCAAATTTATGTTTTTTGTTAAACTATGTAAGGTGACCTTGAGTGTCAAGAAAGGTGCCCACAAATAAAATGTATTATTATTATTATTATTATTTCACTGAAATCTTCCCCTAATTCTCTTGACAGA